CATAAAGAAAAAGAATCCAGTCTTGAAGAAGATACAGTCCAAGAAGCAGAAAAAAATTCTCCATGAATGCATTATGCTATAAAATAAACTAACGTAAGATCATAATAAGAACATAGATTCAGTGAAATGAAAGCTCAAAGACACAATTACAAAACAACAAAATGAAATGAAAAATCAGATTGCAAAGCAAAGGAAATAAATTAAGAACCAAAATAATGCCAGTATAGGACAGTAATAAAATAGAAACAGCAAAGAACAGACATTAAAGAAAAAAAATGTTATAATAAAAATAATAATGTTGCTTGAGATAAATACATACCATGAAGAGTAAAAAAACAAAAGCAATTAGAAAATAACAAGTGTGGAGGATGAAAGTGTTATAACATATGGGTAACTGGTCACATCCAACGGAAAAATAGAAGAGAATGTGTTCAAAGATATAATTAAGACAACTTCAGTGAAAGAAGGAAAAATAGAAGCTATAACTAAAAATATAGTTTTATGGAAAAACTATAGACTCATGGTCTATAGACTATGATATAGACTCATGGACACCAAGCCATTTTTTGATTAAATATTTTTATCTGTAATTAAATGTCAAAGATAATGAAAAAATTCTTCTGTCATCTGAGTGGTATGTATAGAGGAAAAAGTAAACCGACTTCAAATTTTCAAGAGCAGTGTTTAATGCCAGAAGGCAGCTGAGCAATATCCACAAAGTTCCAAGGAAATGAAAATGCAACCCAAGAATATTATGCCCAGCCAGTTTATAAATCAAACATAAAGGCAACAAACAAACATTCTCAAGCACATAAGAACTCAGACATCACAGAACCAGTGAGTCTGCAAGTTAAACACCAATTTGATAACAAAATTCAGCCAACAAAAAGTTGAATGCAAATAAAGAATTCAAGAGTATAGAAGTATGGTAAAGACTACGGTGAATACTGAAATCATTTAAATACAGAGTCAAGATTCTACAGCTGTGAAAACTGTGGTTACAGTACATATTAATATTAATTTCAACCTAAACTATGCAAATATTAGTTAGTAAAAATTTAGAATTGTGGGGAAAGTAGTAAAAGTACATAATTACTGATTTCATCATCTTTTACAAAAGTGAATCATGCTTTCTAAAATTTCTAAATTCCAATTTCTAAAATTGAAATATATAGCTAAAGAAAAAAATAATTTTAACCTCTAAAGATTGCTTTGCAATTGTGTTTTTTAACCATAGAAGAATGTTTTAGGAAACAATATCTCTTAGATTTATATGAAGTTCAGGATATTCACTTTACTTTATATTCCCTTTACTTTCTTTTTCATTTATTAAATTTAAGTAAAATAAAATTTAAAACATTTTATTAAAAAGCTAATATAATATAATCATATTTTTATAAACTTACTTCTAAATATATCTTTGTATCTACATATGTGTACACACACATATATTATATACACAGAGGCACAGATACATGTACACATATCATATACACTTATAAAGAGAATGAAAAAGACAAAGTGGCATTTACCTAATATTCATTTTAGGTATTTATAGGGGGTGGGATTTTGAATGATGATTTATATTCTTCTTTGTACTTTCTTTTATTTCTTGAAGTTAAAAAAAATGAGTATGTGTCAGTTGAAAAGGCAGTAATTTCCAAACTTACTGCGGTATTGGCATAAGGAAAGAAATATAGATAAATGGAATAAAACTGAGAGTCTGGATATAAACTCTTACATTTATGGTCAATTGATTTTCAATAAGGGTAATTCAGGGAGGGAAAGGATAGCCTTTTCAACAAACGGTCATGAGACAACTAGAAATTCACATGCAAAAGAATGAAGTTGGACCATCTAACTCATACCATATGCAAAAAATAACTCAATATAGTTAAGAGACCTACATATAAGAGTGAAAACCATAAAACTCTTAGAAGAAAACATAGGATTACATCTTCATGATTTTCAGTTAGGGAATGAAGAAAATATTTGCAAATCATAATCTAAAAAGGGACTTGCAATCTAGAATATATAAACTACTCTTACAACTAAATAATAAAAGACAACCAATATAAAAGATCAACAAATGATCTTCATAAACATTTCTCCAAAGAAGATATACAAACAGCCAGTAAACCCATGAAAAAGGAAGCAACATCATTAGCTATCAGAGAAAGGCAATTTAAAACAACAATGAGATACCATTTCATACTCGCTAAGATGGCTATTATAAAAAAAAAGAAAACAACAAGTGTTGGTGAGGATATGGAAAAATTGGAACCTTCGTACATAGCTGGTGAGAACATGAAATTGTGCAGCCAATGTGGACAACAGTAAGGCAAATCTCAAAAAATTGAATTATCATATAATCCAGTAATTCCATTTCTGGGAATATAATAAAAAAATTGAAAGCAGGGACTTGAAAAGATATTTGTATACTAATGTTCAAAGCAGTATTACTCACAAGAGCCAAAAGGTATAAATAACCCAAGTATCCATCAACAGATGAATGGATAAAGAAAATGTGATGTGTGTGTGTGCATATATATATATATGTGTGTGTGTGTGTGTGTGTGTGTGTGTGTAATGAAACATTGAGTCTTAAAAAGGAAAAAATTTCTGACACATGCTTCAAGATGGATGAACCTTGAAGATATTATGCTCAGTGAAATAAGCCAGACAGAAAAAGGACAAATAATGTATGATGCCACTTATATAAGATCCCTAGAGTAGTCAAATTCATAGAGACAGAAAGTAGAAGGGTGGCTGCCAGGGACTGTGGGGAGGGAAGAATATGGAATTAGTGTTTAATGGATACAGGTTTAACTTGGGAAGATTAAAACATTCTGTAGGCATGGTGGTAATGGTTGCACAACAGTATGAATGTACTTAATGCACTAAACTACATACTTAAAAATGGGTAAAATGGTAAATTTTATATATATTTTACCACAATTTAAAAAGTAAAAATTAAAACAAAAAGAAGAATAAAGTACTGATACATGATACATGAACCTTGAAAACATTATGCTGAAAGACAAGCCAGTCACAAAGTTCCACATACAGGGGTGGGCAAAAGTATGTTTACAGTGTAATACAAATAAGAAATACCAGTAATTATAAATAATACAAGAATAAACTGTGTTTTGTGTACTCACAATTGTAAACTTACTTTTGCTCCACCCTGTATTATATGACCCCATTTATACAAAATGTCTAGAATAGGCAAATCCCTAGGACAGAAAGTAGGTTAATGGTTGCCAGGGGCTGAGGAGGGTGGAAAAGAAGAGTGACTGCTCATAGACAAGGGGTTTGTTTGAAGGATGATGGAAATGTTCTGAAATTAAATAGTGGTTGGTAATGGTAGCACAACCTTGTGTATATTTGACGAGATTGGGCACGTTTGGGGTGGTACGGCTATAGACCAACCTTACATATACTTGAAAAAAAAAAAACAACCCACTGGCTTATATACTTTAAACAGGTCAATTTTACGATATGTGGATTATATCTCAATAAAGCTTTTACAAAAACATAAAACTATTATTTGAGAGAAATGAAAGAAAAACTGAATGATTTGGTGGAGAGACCACTAAGTATTCCATGGGAAGTTGAAATCAGAACCTCAGACACACAGTAAATACAATGCACTTATTTACCATTGCAGGATCTTGGGAGAAGTGGTTTTTAGCAGTAGGAATTTCATCTAATTGGTCAACCAAGCATATGGCTTCTGAGCCAGTTTTCAAGTTGCCTTTCCACATATATGTTTAGGAACAGCCCCTCTTCCCTAACCAAAAGAATAAAAATGTGGAGGAATGTGGAGACAAGAAAGAGCCAGCACACTCATGCTCTTCTCTCCATGTGTTCAGATTATACTTGCACATCATTTATATCTGACATTGTGGACAATGTGACCCCAAACTGCATAAGAGCACAAATGTCAAATATCAAAAATACCCATCCCTGGCTGGTGTGGCTCAGTGGATTGAGCACCGGCCTGTGAACCAAAACATCAGTGGTTCAATTCCCAGTCAGGGCACATACTTGGGTTGCAGGCCAGGTCCCCAGTTGGCGGCATATGAGAGGCAACAAATGGATGTATCTCTTAAACATTGATGTTTTTCTCCCTCTCTTTCTCCCTCCCTTCCCCACTCTCTAAACGTAAATAAATAAAATCTTTTTTAAAAGAAACCCATCAATCCAATCTGAGCTGAGGCTACATCCTCTACTCTCTATCAGCTAGCTATGAGCACTGTTTCCAGGACCAGTCCCCCTTTGTTAACTTTCTTATTACTATGTGTACCTTGGCCACACACTTATATAGGGTGACATTCTTTCTCTGATAGTTTTGAGATCAGGCTGTCTGAATATTTCAGTGTATCTTGATAAACTATCGGTTTATCAAATATATATGGTGTACATACTGTGTGCCAACTATATACTAAGTACTGACCAAATGAAGAGCATAGTCTGGCCTTGCTGAGTTTATACATAGAATGGAGGAGATAGGAAAAAAACCAAGTGATCTTAAATGAAAATATAATTATAAATAACACAATGGCAATGAAAATGAAGGCTAGTAAAAAGGCAAAGGGTATAGAATGACAGGGTGGATGCAGGTATGATTAGCTGGGGTGACTCTGAGAGTGTGGTATTCAAACCAAGACAAAACGATAAGAAGGAGCCAACCTTGCAAAGATCATTCCATCTAGAGGAACAAGATTGTTTTCTTGTTTTTGTTTTTAAGGTCACTTAAGATGCAACTATCCACATCACTGCACACAAGATAGCTTTGGGTCACAGATATCTTGAAACTAGAGGGAGATCACCTCTTTAAAACAATACTTCCTTGTGTCCGCTTCATTAGCTTCTCGTTTTTCCTATTGCATTAAATCATAAATCTTTCCCACACTTTTTAATGCTCACATCATTTAGTTTCCACATACCACACCCCCACCAACTGTATATCACACTCATGAGAACTCATAAATTACCTGGGAAAGAATCAACTGCCCATGACATGTGTGAACAAATTTTCTTAAAAATGAAAAATAGGTGTTATCTCCAAGTCTTCCAGCAAGAAATCGGAGAAGGAAATAGCCCTAGAAGAAAGGAAGAAGTAGAAGTGAAAAAGATGACTATCATAGGTTCATCAGAAAAATGCTTACACAATCAGCTCTAACTTACCCACCAGCACTTTGTACACATCTAGAATGCTCCATCTGATGTGTTCCAGGCTGCCCTTTATACTCTTACCAGTAAGGTTGGGCCTAGAAATTAAGGATCAACTACTTTGCTTTCAACTCATCTGGGCATTCCCATTCTCATTTTTTCTTGGTTTGCATGAAGTCTACACACTCATCACAGACCAGAAGGAGAGAGGGGCTTGGCTCCTCTCTCCCTCAGCAATCAGGAAAGAACTTTACAACTCAAAATACTTCCTTCTTATTCCTATATTCTAGTTGGAACATGACAGCAATTTTAAGATTCTGCTCTTCAAAGCTGACATGAGGCAGAGAAAAGGGAGATACAGGGCAGGATATCATTCAGGTTCCTTTGACTCATGCCCTATTTTGGGTGTATAAAGTGTTTTAATTATTAGACAATTAGATATCTATCCAGTCAAATGTCATTACAATATAGCGTTTTTTTGTTTGTTTTGCCCCAACCGTGTTACTGAATACTAATCTTCACTATTTATATGTATAACCAAAAAACTGCCTCACCATAATAACTGGCTTCTGTCACTTAATGTGCTTACCTTTAAATAATGAACCTGCATGAAGACCTTCTCTGGGTTGAGCCCATGTTTGATGACAGATGATCCTGAGTCACTCATATGGCCAGTTTTCTCTTTATTGGGTCTAAAATGATGCAGTAAAAGTTTTTTTTAAGTATAGCACATTTTAAACTAACTAGACCATAATATCATCATAGTCTTACTTTCAGAGTTGCTCAACAGTGCCTTAATTCTACTCAATAGTACCAAGTATAATTTAAAACAGTTTACATTATAAATTTGTATACTGAACAAGGAGCAATTTATATTTGGGTTGGCAACTTGAGGTTGGCCATTGGCAATATTTTACGTCACCATATCCAAGATTAATGCTTGCCAGACCTCAAGGAATCCAAGTTCCAATGTGCATTGTATAAGAACCTATGCACTTTTCTTTCAGTGGGAATGATGGACTGGGAAATGCAATGGAAAATGTATCTTACATTGAAGAATAAAGAACTTATATCTTTTTCAAAAATTTTTGAAAACCCCATGTTATTCAATTCCCTTGATTTGTGTTTAGTAATGAGGCTCCTTTAAGAAACATTTATTTAATGAACAAGCAAGACAGAAGCAAACTCATAGATACAGAGAACAAACTGATGATTGCCTGATGGGAGGAGGTTGGGGGGATTGGGTGAAAGAGGTGAAGTACAAATTGGCCATTACAAAATAGTTATGGGGATATAAGGTACAGCTTAGGGAATATAGTCAATAATATTGTAATGGCTCTACAAGATGTCAGGTGGGTGCAAGGCTTAAAGGGGGAATCACTTTGAAAGTTATATAAATGTCCATGGACATGGACAACAGTGTGGTGATTACTGGGGTGAGAGGGATATAAGGGGACGAAATGGTAGTAGGAAAACATATAATAAAGATTAAATTTTTAAAAACAGTTATACAAATGTCTAACCACTATGCTATATAGCTGAAACTAATATGGTATTGTATGTCAACTGTAATTGAAAAATAAAAACAAAATTTAAAAGAAGTATTGTACTCTGAAGTCATTTTAGAATCACAAAAACAAAAATGAAAGTTGTAGAAGCCCATGTTTTTAGAACAGGTATGGACATTCAGAACCACATACTTCAATCTCCTCATTTCACAAACAAGGGAAAAGGAGGCACATAGGAATTAAGTCTGCATCCAAGTTCTCATGGATTGTTTTGATTTGTGTTAACATTAGGACCAAAACTAATGATTCCTTATTATCTTTTAGAGTGTTTTCCACTATGCTTTATGATTTTAAATATTTTTAAAAGTCCTTTTAATAAAATATAATTGTGTTATAGTGAAGCTTCAACAACTAGCTAAAGTTAAACTATGTGAAAAGGTATTTGCAGCTTTCAGCTGTTCTAAAACCAGTCATTTGTTGGACAAACACTGAAGAGTACATACTGAGGTGAGTAGAACCCAAAGGCTCCTGAGACTACCAGCAGGTCAGAAAGGCTGGTGGTTATTTTTAGATGGTAGTGTAGTATAAGTACAAGTGACACGGCCTTTGGAATTGAAGAGACTTCATGTTGAATTTCAACCTTACTTCTTATGCCTGTTACTTACTAGCAGTTTAGTTAATTTTTTTTAATCCTCAATTTATTCACTTGCAAAATGGAAGTCGTCCTACCTATCTTCCCAGGTCCTATGGGGAATAATGGAAATATGTATGTAAAATCCCTGGTAAGGGCCAGGGATACATAAAATACTCAATAAACTTAATAATAAAATATTATAAAGTTGTTAGCAATGAATACTGCTAAAATCAAGGTTAGTCATCTGATGTTAAAGGCAATGGATTTAGGCTGTTCTTTCACTTAATCCCCTATGTCCACAAACACAACATGTAAGGATGTTGGACCACTTCGCAGTGTGCTCTAAATGCCAAGCAAATAACTTCCAATTAAATCTCTGCTGAACATTTCAGTACATTACCCCAGCAAACACAAGGCTTGGGACAGCCAGCCACTAGAGCAAACTGTATAGTTTCAGTTTTTCTACTTGATCCCTGACTTATCTACATGACTGTGCTTGTAGGAATAACTAGTCCCTTTCATCTTCATTTAAGACTGTATTGAAAAGCATCAGCTTTACTCTTGTTCTCAAGTCTGTCCTGGGGTTGAGTGTTTTTATTAGGAAAACCACACTGGCTTTGATAGGGAAAGCCCACCAGCCACAACCTTGCAGGGAGGAAGGCTTTTCAGAACCCGAATTCAAACCAATTTTCCCAGCCTCAAGAGAGACAAGCTTGCTGTAAATTTTTTAAGCCCTTGAATTCTGAATTAGACTAATAGAAGGGGTGGGGCACAGAGGACGGATGTAAATCTCTGCACTGAAGGCTGGTTTCCAGGCTCGAGTTCCCAATGATGCTTTTAGTTGGTGCTTTATTTCCTTTGCCTAAAAATGTCCTTCCAGAAAGCATCACTCTCTTATTCTATCCTTCTACCATCTCCAAATGAAGATGTGTTCAAGAAAATTCTTTTATGCTGACAGCATCCAAGGCAAACGTAGAAATCCCCAAGAGATTCCTTTTAAAGCAGGTGTGGTGCTGGAGGGAGCAGTGCCCAGGCAACCTTTGCAGTGCTCCATGAGTGTAAAAGGGCTGTGCTACTCTGCTTCTCACAGTGCCCCTTACCCCAGGTCTGTACAGAGAGAAAGAGGAAACAAATGAACTAATGAACTCCCACTACATGAGAGTCAACAGATGACTCTCACAGGGGAGTGAAAGAAGTCACATCCAAAAAGAGTACAGCAGTCCCCCCTTACCCATGGTTTCGTTTTCTGCAGTTTCAGTTACCCTCGGTCAACCGACGTCCAAAAATATTAAATAAAAAATTCTAGAAGTAAACAGTTTATAACTTTTATATTTCATGCTGCTCTAAGTAGTTTGGTAAAATTTCATGGCCTTCCCACTCTGTCACACCTGGGATGTGAATCACCCCTTTGTTCAATGTATCCACATTGTTATATGTTCCCTACCTGTTAGTCACTTTGTAGCCTTCTCTGTGATCAGATCAACTGTCACAGTATCACAGTGCTTGTGTTCCCCTTATTTTGCTTAATAATGGCCCTAAAGCACAAGAATAGTGTTGATGGCAATCACATATGCTAGAGAAGCCAGAAAGTGCTTCATTTAAGTGTACGCATGGAAGAAAACAGCGTATGTAGGGTTTCAGGCATCCAGTGGGGGGGTCTTGAAACGCATGCTCCATGGATAATGTGATGGGGGTAAATTACTGTACATACATATGTACAATTCTATTTAGATGGGGTCAAAGAACAGGCAAAACAGAGCTATGGGGATAGAGATCAGAAAAATGGTTACCTTTTGGAGGGAGTATTGAGTATTTGGGGAAAAGAGGAAGATTTTGGGGATGCTGGGAGCATTCCAAATATTGACCAGAGTGGTGCCTTCCTAAGGATAAATTGTAAAAATCTATTGAGCCATCTAGAAATATCTGTGTACTTCAGTGTATGTATGTTATATTTTAATTAGAAGTTAAGAAAAATAGATGCACATGAAACAGTATACATTTTGTGAGACTAAAAGGGAGTCAGTCTAGAAAAGGGGCTTTGCTGTCTATGTGCCATGAACACATGACTGGGATTAACGAAACCTTATATATCTGACAACCAATGAAATATCTTTTTAAAATAACATTATGCGAGTCAGAAAGAACTGTGGCAAATACAATTGGCTCAATCTACCCCCAGTTTCATCCACCTTCTTCCTTGCCACATATACGATCAAATTTGAAAAGTTAAATGCTCACTTTCCAAGTGTCCTTGAGGCTACAAATAGTTGGAATACATGCACCAGGCCAATGAAGCAAAAGCAGGGGCCTGCTCTGGTTGGAAGTAGGGTTCTGGGATAGCTTTTGCTTTCTTTACAAAAAGGGAAAATAATTGGTACTGTACCTCTCCCCCGCAATTATGGTAGATGGAGCTGCAGCAGCCACCTTGCAACTATGAATCAGCAAATCAATATGCTATGGAGACCAGATGGAATGAAAGAAGGCAAATAGTCTTTGATGGCATCATTCAGCTGTTGGCTGCCCAAGACTGCCTACCTTCAAAATGCTTACTGTTTGAGAAAAATAAACCCCATTTGTTTAAGTCAGTATTGCTTACTATTCTATTAATTATAGGTAGATTCATTCCAAATGATAAAGAATCAAACTAACAGCTACCATTTCCTGTAACTGCCCTGTGCTAGGTATCCCATGAAGCTCTTCTCATGTATCATGGCCTTCTGCCCCCTACAAGAAACTGTTAGGGCAGGTACTGTGATTAAACCCATTTAAAAGTGGAGGAAAAAGAGGCCTGGATACAACCACAGCACTAATTAGTGGCAGAGTTGAGCTGGAACCAGGGTCCTTGGAACACTGAAGTCCTTGCTGCATGCATAGGCCTCGTCAAGATCCAGGTCTCCAACTTGGTTGTGCCAAAAACTAAGTGAAGAACCATAGACACGTTGCTTACCTTCCATGAAATGGAGCTTCCTCACCTGTAACAAGTGTGATGAGGCTCAGGTAACATGAAAGCACTTTGTAAACATGAACGTGTTAAGCATTTCTTAGACATTATTCACCAGTGTTTATTTCCTTGGCTGGAATACATGGAATGCAAGAGATCAAGTTACATGGTTGTTTGGGCTGAAATGCCCTTGGTTTCTGTTGTACCTGGCATCAAGTATAACAACTGAGATTAGCATGACCTTCCCTGCCCACCTCTTTCCTTTCCCATTGCACTCCCAGAAGAAACAGAAACATTTAAAGAGTGGTGACAGTGGCACTAGATACCCCGTGATTTGGAATCCAACCTCTTGAAAAAAAGGACTGATTCTGCAGGACTATCACCAAGGGTGGGATTTGGGAAAATGCCTCTGACAGGCGCTCAGATGCATCCACTGCGGTCTGAAGACCTACTGCTCTGCCATAGCCCACATGGACTGTCTGCCACCATTCTCTATCCGGTACTCCTTGGTACAAGATATCTTCCTTCATAAACTCACTACTGTTTGCTTGAGCCAGGGACAAGGCATCCCAGAAATGACACAGAAAGATTATCAGCATTTCAACATCT